AGGGAGGGGAGGAGAGGAAGAGCGGACTCCCCAGGTAAATTAGAGCGAGGCAGGCCGGGCATGGAGGAAGCACCGAGCCCAGCACCCTTCTCACCAGCTCGGCCTGGGTGCTGATGGAAGCCAGGTGGGCGCCCATGTTGGAGCAATTCCGCTCACTGTCGGCCCATGAACTGTTGCCGCTCAGGGGAAGGAGGCAGCCCGGGCCCAGGCTCCTCCAGCCCGCGGGGCAGCAGCCCCAGAGCCCGTCTGCGCCTGCGTGGGGCGGGGGGAGGAACGGAGGTCTCAGCTGGGGTAAACTCACATATCAGGATTGCCAAAACCACTAGGGCACCCATGGCTCCCGCCTGTCATCCCAGCGACTCAGGAGGCTGAGAGCTGAGGATGGCGGTTCCAAGCCAGCCCGGGCAGGAAAGTCTGTGAGACTCTGATCTCCCATGAACCACCAGAAAACCAGAGGTGACGCTGTGGCTCAAGTGGTAGAGCGCCAGCCTTGAGGTGAAGAGCTGAGGGACAGCGCCCAGGCCCAGAGTTCAAGTCCCACGACTGACAAAAAAAACAACAACTCTGAAATGACCCACTACGGACAGACCTGAAATCTCACAATGACTAGGAGAAGACATCACCCGGAGTCAGTGTGGACTTCTTTTGCTGCTTCTTTTTTTTTTGAAATGCTATTCCTGAGACTTGAACTCAGGACCTGTGCACAGTCCTTTGGCTTTTTCACTCAAAGCTGGTGCTTTACCACTTGAACCACAGCTCCACTCCTGACTTTTGGCTGACGCATTGGAGTTAAGGGTTCTCACAGATGTTCCTGTCCCCACTGGCTTTGAACCCAGACCTCAGCCTCCTGAGCAGCTGGGATGACAGGCAGGAGCCACCAGTGCCCAGCTCTTGCTGATATGGTTTTTTTTCTTTTCTTTTGCCAGTCCTGGGGCTTGAACTCAGGGCCTGGGCGCTGTCCCTGAGCTTCTTTTGCTCAAGGCTGGCGCTCTACCACTTGAGCCACAGCGCCACTTCTGGCTTTTTCTGCATATGTGGTGCTGAGGAATCGAACCCAGGACCTCATGCATGTGAGGCGAGCACTCTGCCACGGAGCCACCTGCCCAGCCCCATCCTGCTGATATTTTTAAGTATGACTATGGATTCCGAGGGAAATGGAAAGCAGGAAGCCATTTTCTTCTCTCTGTCACCTGCTTTTTGGGGTCCTGAGTCTTCTCTCGTGCATGTCACCTTCTTATGGTACCCCGGTAACGTGGAAGCTTTCCTCCCACAGCGGAGAAGGCTGTGATGAGTCACTGAGAAAGGGAAGAAAAAAACATAGTTTTGATTTTTTGTCGGTCCTGGGGCTTGAACTCAGGGCCTGGGCGCTGTCCCTCAGCTCTAGTGCTCCAGGCTAGTGCTCCACCACAGCACCACGTCTGGCTTTTTGCTGGTTCATTGGAGATCAGAGTCTCACAGACTTTCCCGCCCCAGCTGGCTTCCAACCGAGATCCTCCTATCTCAGCCTCCTGAGTAGCTGGGATTACAGGCGTGAGCACCCATGCCCGGACTATAGCTGGGCGTTTTTAATCCGGGCCATTGAACCCATTATCCACTGACATGTCGGGGGCAGTGGGGAGAGGTATCCACAGGACTAAGTCAACGTTCTGATGAGCGGCTGGGGAAGTCATTCGAGAAGATTCTCAAGAACTTACCTAACACATTGGCAGCAAAACAGCCCGTGAGGAGCAGGCTGAGCAGGGCTGCGCAGGCCCAGAGGAGCCTCGGAGAGGAACGGGTGTCTGTGGGTACAAAAGGCAAACACGAACCGGTTCTTCTTCTTCCTGAGGGGGGCGAGGGGTAACACACAGCACAGAGAACCCAGAGTCATGGAAGCAAAGCCCTGGCTACCGCATCAACATGGGAGGGGGGAATGAGAGGGAAAGAGGGGATCGGGCTGGGCGGGTGGCTCAGTGGTAGAGCGCTCGCCTCGCATGCATGAGGCCCTGGGTTCGATTCCTCAGCACCACAGAAGCAGAAAAAAGCCGGAAGGGAGCTGTGGTTCAAGTGGTAGAGCACCAGCCTGGAGCTGAAGAGCTGAGGGACAGCGCCCAGGCCCTGAGTTCAAGCCCAGAACTAGAAATAATAATAAATAATAGCCGTACTGTCCGTTTGGTTTGTAGAGTTCATAAGTTTTATACACCATGCTAATGACGATACACCTCGTTCATGAAGGTGAAATTGTGTTTGTGACTTTAGCTGAGTTTCACTATCCCACAACGCTGTGAAAGTTATGTAATCACTTAGTTTCAATAAAAGGGGGAAAAAAGAAAATATATATATATATCCACATCCAAGTCTGCGGCTGATAACTCCCGCCTGTAATCCCAGCGACTCAGAAGGCTGAGATCTGAGGATCGGGTTCAAAGCCAGCCCAGGGCAGACTCATCTGTAATGATCTACCAAAAAAAAAAAAAAAGCAAAAACAAAACCAGCTGTGGGTCAAAGTGGTCGAGCACAAAAGCTCAGGGACAGCACCCAGGCCCTGAGTTCAAGTCCCAGGACTGACGCACACACACACACACACACACATTTAAACTGAATTAAAATTATTAAGGTGGAAGAAGAGGAAAAAACTCACCTTTCTCCGACATTTCTTCCTTCCCCATTGTGTATTTTCCTCTCGTGCTACCAAGTTTGCCAAAGCCCCCTTCTTCTGGAGGAAATATGTATTCAGAAATGCTTGACACAATAAAAGATCTTATTTCTTCTGGTGATGTTGCGGCGCTAACAGCAGCGCGGACAGTGAACTCAAAAGGAGAAGTCTTCTCAAAGACCGGGGCTTCCTTTGATTCACACTGGCAGCTGGGGCGGAGAAGAGAAGAAGAAGAAGAAAAAGGAAATTGAGAAAGCAACATTCAACACTAGCCCATAGAACATTCCAGAAGTAGGGTGTGTCATGGCAAAGTGTCTCAATTTTCTCGGCATCCATTTAGCCAAAATGTCTGGCCACTGCCCAGAAGAATCATGATGTCTGAGAAAAACGGAACGAACATCCCACTCATCATTTCTATTCTAAAAGGAGATTATAGCCCAGTACAGGGGCTCACACCTGTAATCCCAGCTACTCAGGAGGCTGCAATCTGAGGATCGTGGGTTCAAAGCCAGCCCAGGCTGGTGAGTCTGAGACTCTGACCTCCAATGAACCACCAGAAAACTGGAAGTGGAAATGTGGCTCAAAGTGGTAGAACCATCCCACGAGTAAAAAAGCCACGCAAGAGTTCAAGGGGTCAAGTTCAAGCCCCAGCATTGGTGTGCATGCAAGTGTGCGCACACACACACACGTGTGCACACACACACACAGAGGTAGAAAAGAGGAGAGTTGACCAATTTGTCAAGACTCCATGGGCAAATTTAAATAAGAAGTCATAACTTGGTAGCACAAAGTAATTTTCATTTCGATGATTAATAAGAATCCTGTAACTACATAAAAATCCAAGAGTTCACAATGAGTGAAAAAGGAAATCATGTATGTGGCATCCAGAGCACATAAATATGGTAAGCTTTCTCTCTTTCTGATAGGTTTTCATGAACAGAATCACGATAATGACCTGTTAGCATCTTCTATAAAGAATTGACACAAAGCCAGGCGCCCGCGGCTCCCGCCTGTCATCCCAGCGACTCAGGAGGCTGAGATCTGAGGATCGTGGTTCGAGGCCAGCCTGGGCAAGAAAGTCTGTGAGACTCAGATCTCTGATAAACCACCAGAAAACTGGAAGTGGCGCTGTGGCTCAAGTGGTAGAGCGCCAGCCCTGAGCTGAAGAGCTGAGGGACAGCGCCCAGGCCCTGAGTTCGAGACCCAACACCGACAAAAAGAAAGAAGGACATTTTGCCACCGAGAGGTGACCAGGTAACATTTTTTTTTTTAAACCAAGGCCCTGGACTAACAGGGAAGGGGAAAATATCTACTAATGAAAGACTGCGAGTCATGACCAGGTGAACTAGAAAAGGGACTTATACAAAGATACAGAGAAAGCAAGCGGCATGCGCGAGCAGGCGGGACCTGTGGCAAGCATCCAATGACTCGGTGGAGACCCGCAGCTTCCTCTGTGCAAGAAGAAGTAAAGAATGTTACTGGGAAATGGCTTCCCTGGGGTCAGAAAGGCCAGGAAGTCTCAAAATAGGTATGGAAATCTGTTCTTCCTCAAAACGAGGTTGATCTACCCGACATGAATCAGATTACTTTCTTAAGGCAGAGAGTAATTATTGCCTACATTTCAATGGTCTGCCGATCATCTAACAGACACTTGTTCAGCGGGAAGCCAGTAGCTCCCGCCTGTAATCCCAGCGACTCCGGAGGCTGAAAGCGGAGGATCGTGATTGGAAGCCAGCCCGGGCAGGAATGTCTGTGAGACTCTTTTACTCTAGTGACTCGACAAAAAGTTGGAAGTGGGGTACTGGGACTCAGTACTACTAGCCTTGAACAAAAGGTCCAGGGACAGTGCCTAGGAGCTGAGTTCAAGTCCTAGGACTGACATAAAAACAAAGAAGAAAAAGAAATGAGGAAAGAGAGAGAGAGAGAAAGAAGAAAGAGAGAGAGAGAGAGAGAGAAAGAAAGAAAGAAAGAAAGAGAGGAAGAAAGAAAGAAAGAAAGAAAGAAAGAAAGAAAGAAAGAAAAAAGAAAGAAAGAAAGAGGAAGGAAGGGAAGGAGGGAGGGAGGGAGCGAAGGAGGGAGACTTATCGAGTCTATGTATCTCTATGCAGTTTCTGTTATTTTTGTTGTTGTTGATTTCTCATTTAATTCCATTGTGGTAAAAATACAGAAAGTAGCTGGGCACTGGTGGCTCCCGCCTGTCACCCCAGCTACTCAGGAGGCTGAGATCTGAGGATCCTGGTTCAAAGCCAGCCTGGGCAGGAAAGTCCGTGAGACTCTGATCTCCCATGAAGCACCAGAAAACCAGAAATGGCTCAAAGTGGTAGAGCGCCAGCCTTGAGCAGAAAGAGCTGAGGGACAGCGCCCCAGGCCCTGAGTTCAAGCCCCACGACCAACAAAAACATAAATAAAGAATAAAAATCTTTCTGTGTTCTGGGGCGTGGTTGCGTTTTGGAGCAAGTTCCAGAAGACGCCCAGGGGAATGTGTCTTCTGCAGGCTGGGGGTGAAGTGTTCTGTTGAGGTGTGAAGTCGAGTCTCAGTGAATTCTGCAATGTCTTGGTTGGTTGGGTTTTCGTCCTCCTTTCCTTTAATCTAGGAGGAAGCGTAGGGTATGGAAGCCCACAACTATTAACGTGTGGGTGTCTCTCCGGGCTTCTCTACACTGTGGTGTTGCTTTTGTGGAATCAGAGACGCAAATGGCTGACAGGTAGAATCCTCTCCGTGAATTTTCCCATAATGCATTGATGGATGATGTCACCATCTTGGTCTGGCTAGTGGTATTCATGTCCGGATGCTTCCTTCTGGCTTTTACTTTCTTACAATCTTTTTGTTTTTCCTTTCCATTGAGGTTGCATTTCTGGGAGGCAACAAATGATTGTGTGTGTGTGTGTGTGTGTGTTTGTGTGTGTGTGAGGACTTGAACTCAGGGCCTGAGCACTGTCCCTCAGCTCTTCAGCTCAAAGCTGGTGCTCTACCACTTGAGCCACAGTGCCACTTCTGGCTTTTTTCTGCTCATGTGGTGCTGAGGAATGGAACCCAGGGCCTCAGGCATGCAAGGCAAGCGCTCTACCACTGAGCCACCTGCCCAGCCCCCTGGATTGTATTTCTTTCTTTACTTTCTTCTTTGTATTTATTTCTATTTCTTCTTTCTTTTCTGCATTACTGCTTCTCTTTTTTTTTTTTTTTACTTATTTAACCTTGAGCTAACATCCGCACCTGAGGATCGAATAGTTTGGTTTTCTCTGACTTTCGTCAAGTCTCTTTATTTGACACATGCAGGCAAATAGCTAGACCTAACTTAGAACTCCTGGACTTTGGGTCTGAAGGCTGAAAACTGAGTGTCAGTAATACACTAGGAAGGAAAGCCCAGCAAGGACTTCTATTCTTTGAGTAGATCCAAGGACTCTATTCAGATTCTTCATGGTGGGACTTGAACTCAGGACCTGGGCACTGTCCTTGAGACTCTGTGCTCAAGGCTAGCGCTCTACCACTTAAGCCACAGCGCCACTGCCCAGCTTTTTGGGAGTAGAGACTCTAATCAGAGTCTCACAGACTTTCCTGCCCAAGCTGGCTTCGAACGTCAATCCTCAAATCTCAGCCTTCTGAGTAGCTGGGATTACAGGCAGGATTACAGTGCCCAGCAAGCAATATTGTTATATGTTATGTAATGAGAATATTAGGATCATTATTATAACCAGTTGGATCTAGCTGACTTGCGCAGTGAAGCACAGTTCACAGTGTGTAACTTCAGAGACTGAATCACGTAACCACACTCCGGCCTTCATTTCTCCATTTGAGTCACAGCACCGCAGGAGGTGGCTGCCATCTTGTCAGGAAGCACAAGTTGCCTGGTGGGGTTTCCATGTGGGTGGATGCTGACGTCTCCTAGCAACAGCCAATCCCAGGTTGTCAGCCGTGTGACTGACCACGATCTGCTCCTATCAGATGAGCCCGGTTCTAGGGGAAAAAAGAACCATGAGAAATGATGACTGTACAAATCTTACGTAGACGCCAGCGGCTCCCGCCTGCCATCCCAGCGACTCAGGAGGCTGAGATGTGAGGATCACAGTTCAAAGCCAGCCCAGACAGGAAAAGTCTGTGAGACTCATCTCCAGTTAGTGGACAAAAACCTAGAAGTAGAGGCATGGATCAAAGGGTAGAGCACCAGCCTTGAGTGAAAAATCCAAATAAGAGCTCAAGGCCTTGAGTTCAAATCCTGGCACTGGCGCTCTCTGTCTCTCTCTCTCTCTCTCTCCACACACACATACAATCTTATATAAATCTTAGTACTTTATAAATGGTTTTAAAAGAGAACATGGTCCAATCTGTGGAAGAGGAAATGTTTGTGGATGAAGGAATAAAAGGAGAACTGAAGAAATGAAACACAGCCAAGTGGCTCCCGCCTGTCATCCCAGCTACTCAGGAGGCTGAGATGTGAGGATGGCGGTTCAAAGCCAGCCCGGGCGGGAAAGTCTGTGGGACTCTGATCTCCAAGGAACCACCCAGAAAACTGGAAGTGGTGCTGTGGCTCAGGGCCCCGCCCCAGGAGCCTCGGGAAGCGGAAAGGAGGCTGCGGGATGCGGAACTTACACACTGCTGGCAAGGAAGCAGGCGCCCGCCACCAACCACGGCCTCGGGGTCCAACAGTCTGTCCTCTCTGCCAGCCAGACAGACACCAGCCCTCACCAACCAGACAGAAGACAAGCCAGGCACCCCAAGACACCAGAGCAAGGAAGAAACCCAGCCATACCACCCTACGGCCAAACCTGGTGGCTCCCGCCTGTAATCCCAGCGACTCAGGAGGCTGAGATCCGAGGATTGGAAGCCAGCCTGGGCAGGAAAGTCTGTGAGACTCTTCTCCCCGAGGAGCCAGCAAAACAGCCAGACGTGGAGGTGTGGCTCAAGCGGTAGAGCACCAGGCTTGAGTGGAAAAAGCTCAGGACAGCGCCCAGGTCGTGAGTTCGAGACTCTTCATAAATGCAACCTTCTTCCCAAACCATTTCCCCCAGGCCCCACATCCATTTATCTTCTTGAGTTGCTCCTAGCGGTCTGTTTGGATTTTCTTTTTCCTCTTTCCTTACTAGAATTTAAGGTGTATATTCCACCTCAGAGATTCATTAATCACACACACACACACACACACACACACACACACACACACACACACGGCACAAAATCCCAGTAGATCTTGAGTATTTCCTTTCTTCTTCCGTCCAGGACTTCCAGATCGAGAAGCAGGAAGTGTTCCTTCCATGGCCAGTGAATCTATTCTCTCCTTCCGGCTCTCTCTCCGGCTCCATCTCTCCCTCTTCCCCCCCTCCCCAAGAGACATCATCTCACCTCATGTACCACGTCACCCAGCACTGCCTTTATCTCCGGAAATCACAACAGCAAGGCTCACCTCTGCCTTTGAGCTTGGCTCTCTGGCACCATTCTGTAGGAGTTCGGGGTTCCCAAGAAATTCTCCTGTCTTCCTGAGGGTGGCACCCGCAGTCTGGACCAACCAACACAACGCAGTCTGATTGGCTCACGAGATCGCCCAGGCTAACTATGGGATAAATGACAAAAGAAGCCAAGTTGCCATGGATTTAAAGAGGAGATGAAAGAGGAAATTGAGAAGGTTCCTTACCTTGTTCCTGAAAACTCCAACCGTTCCCCTCCTTCATCCCTAACAAGCCATTACCCCTGCTGGGAAAGAGAATGCTGTGTGGACTCAGAAAGGCCACACTGGGCCAGGCACCGTGGCGCACACCTGTAATCCCAGCTACTCAAGACGCTGAGATCTGAAGATCGTGATTTCCAGCCAACCTGGGCAGGAAAGATGCCATGAGACTCATCCCCAGTCAACCATTTGAAAAACAGAAGGGGCTGGGCAGGTGGCTCAGTGGTAGAGTGCTTGCCTAGCATGCATGAAGCCCTGGGTTCGATTCCTCAGCACCACAGACACAGAAAAAGCCCGAAGTGGCGCTGTGGCTCAAGCGGTAAAGCACCAGCCTTGAGCAAAAGCAGCACAGGGACAGCGCCCAGGCCCTGAGTTCAAGCCCCACAAGAAGAAAGAGAAAAGAAGGAAAGAGGGGAGAAAAGAAGGAAAGAAGGGAGGGAGGAAAAGAAGGAAGAATGGAGGGAGGGAGGGAGGGGGAGAAGAAAGGAAATTCTATGCAAGAATTTCTTTCTGAGCTTTATACTTTCATATTGCTTTTTTTCCTCTTATTTTTATCGTACATTTTCAGTCTAGGCAAGAAATAGTTCATTTGGCTTGTCATTTGATTAGAGAATGTTTAATGGGCATGTCTCTTGTGAAGAAAATTGAAGGTATGTGGCATTAAAACCACCATCAAACAGTGAAGGAGCAGGCGATCCGTGTCAATTCAATGTGGGCAAGTGACTGAAGCTGGGCACCAGCGCTTATACCTGTAATCCCAGCTACTCCGGAGGCTGAGGTCTGAGGATGAAGGTTGAAGGCCAGGAGGCTGAGATCTGAGGAAGAAAAAGTCTGGGCAGAAAAAGTCTGGGACTCTGATCTCCAATGAACCACCAGAAAACTTGAAGTGGCGCTGTGGCTCAAGGGGTAGAGCGCCAGCTTTGAACAAAAGAGCTCAGGGACAGTGTCCAGATTCAGAGTTCAAGCCCAAGGACTGGAGTGTGCGTACACACACACACACACACACACACACCAAAGCCAGCTGTGATATTTCGTTTATTGAATACGTAGAATAGAAGGAATAGTTAACGTTGACTTGAAAATACAGGATTGTTTTGGAAAATGAATTAATACACTTTGTGAGTGAGACAGGAGCGAAAACCTGGGAGAGAGCAGGAAAGGGGGAGAAGACATTGTCCAAAAAGAACTGGACTCTTACGTAACTGTAATCCCTCCCTACGTCACCTTTACGGTAAGTTCTTTTGGGGGGGTCAGTGGTGGGACTTGAACTCAGGGCCTGGGCGCTGTCCCTCAGCTCTTCAGCTCAAAGCTAGTGCTCTACCCCTTGAACCACAGCACCACTTCCGGTTTCCTGAGTAGTTTATTGGAGGCCAGAGTCTCACAGACTTTCCTGTCCAGGCTGGCCTCGAATCGCGATCCTCAGATCTCAGCCTCCTGAGTAGCTGGGATGACAGGCGGGAGCCACGGGAGCCTGACATTATCATCAGTGTTTTTTGAAGGTATGCTAAAAGCCAACATTACACTGCACAAGTAGCAGGGTACCAGTTGAAAAAGTGAGCATTGTTTGGGAGAACAGAGTGTCTGCCCGTGTTGGTCTGCGGTGGATGAAATCATGCAGGAGAAGCAGAAGTGGTCGGCCGCTGGGATCCGCGTCGCCACTTCCCACCAGCAGTGGAGAAACAGCGGCCCAGCACTGAGTCATCTGACATTCAGGGCCCAGCGACCCGCACGGCTCCGCGCTTCCCTCCATCCCCAACTTGTCTTCTCTCTTGTTGCTTTCTGGTGTTTTCTCGTCTTGTTTGGGTTTGTCAGTCGCGGGGCTTGAACTCTGGGCCTGGGCGCTGTCCCTGAGCTTTTTTTACTCCAGGCTGGCGCTCTACCACTTGAACCACAGCGCCACTTCTGGTTTTCTGGTGGTTCATGGGAGATCAGAATCTCACGGCCTTTCCTGCCCGGGCTGGCTGGGAACCGCCATCCTCAGATCTCAGCCTCCTGAGTCGCTGGGGGGACAGGCGGGAGCCGCCAGCTTTCTGGTGGCTCTTTCTGGTATTATTAGCAAATCTGTGGTGTTTTCTCCATTCCATAGCCCTAAACTTCTTTTATTTTTTTTTTGCCAGTTCTGGGCTTGAACTCAGGGTGTGAGCGCTGCCCCTGAGCTGCTTTTCTGCTCAAGGTTAGTACAGCCACAGCACCGCTTCCCACATTTTCCTGCTTGTGGGGGACAGAGGAATCGAACCCAGGGCTCCATGCAAGCGCTCTACCACTGAGTCACTTTCCCAGTCCTGCTCCAAGCTTCTTAATTATTCTGGAATGTCTTCAAATAAAGAATGCTGAGATGATCTTTGAGAGAAAAATGGAGAGGAGTTTTTTGTTTGTTTTGTCGGTCATGAGACTTGAACTCAGGGCCTGGGCGCTGTCCCTCAGCTCTTCAGCCCAAGGCTGGCGCTCTACCACTTGAGCCACAGCGCCACTTCCGGCTTTCTGGTGGTTCATTGGAATAAAGAGTCTCATGGAGCTGGGCACCACGGAGCTGGCTCACGCCTGTCATCCTAGCTACTCAGGAGGCTGAGATCTGAGGATCGCAGTTCAAAGCCAGCCCGGGCAGGAAAGGCCGTGAAACTCTGATCTCCAATAAACCTCCAGAAAACCAGAAGTGGTGCTGTGGCTCAAGTGGTAGAGCGCTCGCCTTGAGCTGAAGAGCTGAGGGACAGCGCCCAGGCCCTGAGTTCAAGCCCCATGACCGACAACAACAACAAAAAACCTAACGATGTTAGATAATGGGTAGGTTTATGAAACTTAATTACGTTCACTAGTCAATCATTTCACCGTTATAGCCATGTACTGAGGACGCTGTAACTCAACTACACACAATTTTATTTATCAATTATACATCAAAAAGCCAAAGGAAGTAAAACAACATGGGTTAAGGGAGGGAAACTCCCATCAGTGAGTAACCCCTAGCACTGAGAAATTAGGAGTTTCTCGTGTCTTTGCCCTGTGCACACGGGATGTCCAGGATGCAGACAGAATCCTCAGTAAAGCCGCAGCGCACCCATGGCTCACGCCTGTCCAGGATGCAGACAGAATCCTCAGTAAAGCCGCAGCGCACCCATGGCTCACGTCTGTCATCCCGGCAAGATCTCAGCAGTGTGCTTCGACCTCCAGGCTGGGCAGGAAAAGTCCCTGAGAGTCTCATCTGCAATGAAACCGCCGGGACACCGGGAGCAGAGCCGTGGCTCAAGTGGTAGAGCGCCAGCCTTGAGCAGAAAAAAAACCCTCAGGGACAAAAATCAAAAATGGAAATGATGGATACCGACACACCAGCATGGGCTTCGCTCGCGAGTACGATGATCCAGGAGCCATGAGTGAGGCGATCAGAGATAGATGGCCGCCATCTCGCAAATGGAGCTCTGAGGGCTACTACAGTAGATATCATTCCAGCCCCATCCTGTCAATCGGGGATTGTTTAGCACAACACAGGCTTCCTTTGGGTCACTGGGTTCCCCTCGGCGCCAGAATCTGAAAGGAAGGAAATGGCGGAGGGCTAGTTCTGTAATTCTGCCTTCGTTTTGGTTTGGTTTTTGGGGTATCCGTCCTGAGACTTGAACTCAGGGCCTGGGCGCTGTCCTGAAGTTTTTTCCTACCAAGGCTGGTGCTCTATCCCTTGAGCCACAGCTCTACTTCTGGTTTTCTGGTGGTTCATGGGAGATCAGAGTCTCACGGCCTTTCCTGCCCAGGCTGGCTTTGCACCGAGATCCTCAGATCTCGGCCTCCTGAGTGGCTGGGGTGACAGGTGTGCGCCACGGAGCCCGGCTGATAGTTTAAGTTTGTGAATAAAGGGAGGCGTCTGCACTCACGTGGCGCTGAGGTTGTACGGCGTCTGATCCACCCACTGCCAGTCATTCTCATGGTTCGGGTCCCACAGGCCCAGGTAATAAGCGAATTGATCGTTCAGATGCTGGATGATAAAACTCTACATCGATTAAGAATAAACGAGAGAGGTCCTAGCGTTACAGGATGCACCTTAACGGGATTCTTTTTGGTAGAACCCCTCTTTTTAAATTGTTGGGTTCCTTCCCCCCGCCCTGCCCCCCTCTTTCTCTTTGGTGGGGGTACTGAGATTTGAACTCAGGACCACACTTTCTGAAGGAATTCACTGTACCTTGGCGTTAGCTTCTTTTGCAAATCTGGCTCTGTGCTTTTTGTGCTGGTCAACCTTCCTTCCCCCACGTTCCCAGAGTAGCTGGGATTACAGTCATGTGCTACTAGGTCCTGTGTGTGTGTGTGTGTGTGTGTGTGTGTGTGCACACGCACGCACATGTGCTAGTTTGGGGATTTGAACTCAGGACCTCGGGCTGCCCCTAAGCTTTTTAACTCCAGGCCAGTTCTCCATCACCTGAGCCACAGCTTGACTCCCAGCTTTGGGGAAGTTTTTTGGAAATAAGAGCCTCCCAGACTTTGCTGCCCAGGCTGGCTTTCTACCTGGATCCTCCGATCTCAGCCTCCTGAGAAGCTAGGATTATAAGCGTGAGCCACGGATGCCTGCCTTTATTTTGCCAGATAGGATCTGGCTAACTTTCGGCCTGGTCTAAGAGCAAGGACAGCAGACCAGTAGGCCAGGCCGGATTATTACTTTCATTGTATGATTTTGTGGGAGCATAAGATGATAAATTGATATGTATATACAGCATACCAATAATCAAAACTAGATCAGTAACATTTCCATCTCCTTAGCAATTTATACATTTTAGATTAAGCAAGGTGCTGGTGGCTCATGCCTGTCACCCCAGCTCCTCAGGAGACTGAGATCTGAGGATCACAGTTCAAAGCCAGCCCAGGCAGGAAAGTCCCTGAGACTCTGATCTCCAATGAAGCACCAGAAAACCAGAAGTGGTGCTGTGGCTCAAAGTGGTAGAGCGTTAGCCTGGAGCAAAAAAAAAAAAAAAGAGCTCAGGGACAAGTGCCCAGGCCCGGAGTTCGAGTCCCAGGACCAGCACACACACACACGCATTAGATGAACAGACAATGGTGGCATATTCTGTGGGAAGAATACCTACCTGCTCTTCCTTGCTGTTAACCACCATCAGATGTGCCTGCAGACCAGAGCACATTTCCTTGCTCTTCTCCCAAGAATTTATACCACTCGACATGAAATAGCAGTGGGAATTAAACTGCTTCCACTTCTGTGGGCAACAGCTCCAGACTTTTCCTTTATTGGGGAAAAAAAAAATGTTCTGTAATTTCAGTGGAAGATCAGCTTGGAAGTGTAGGCTAAAAGCCCAGGGCTGGTGGCTCACGCCTGGAATCCCAGCTACTCAGAAGGCTGAGATCTGAGGATCCTGGTTCAAAGCTAGCCCAGGCAGGAAAAGTCCGTGAGACTCTGATCTCCCATGAAGCACTAGGAAACCAGAAGTGGCGCTGTGGCTCAAGTGGTAGAGCACCAGCCTTGAGCGCAAAGAGCTCAGGGACAGCGCCCAGGCCCAGAGTTCAAGCCCCCCGATCAACAAATAGTAAGTTTGAACAATATGCGGCCTAGTAAAATAGCTGAGATACGAGAGCAATGTCCAGCTTGACCAGAAAGTACAGATAAAAGCAAAGCAGATGGAATTCATCCAAAAGCAACGCAGCCTGCCTCCACAATCATGCCTTGCAGGGACTACTCCAGGTGTGCAGCAATTACAGCAACCACACACGTGTGCATAAACAGGATCACAAGACTCCAATTCTCAGGATCTACCTGAGAATCTAACTGGAGAGGCTGCTTAGGATCTTTACGTAGTGTGCTCAGTGACTGGACTCCAATGGAGAGGCTGTTTGGGATCTTTACGTAGTGTGCTCAGTGACTGGACTCTAATGGAGAGGCTGACTTAGGATCTTTACGTAGTGTGCTCAGTGACTGGATTCTGGGCGTGTTAAGTTTTACCTCCCATGGACGCGGGACTTTTTACACACTCCAGCTGGGTGTGGGTCAGCTCCGTCGCAGCATGGCGTTCTTTAAGCAGCTGAGAATATTTCTGAAAAAAAACTGAAAGAGAAAAGTGAAAAGCCACCCTGCTCCGGCGGGCTGCCCTCTGGCATTGTGGAAGCACAGTCTACCACGTCCAGTCACCTGAGTCAATGCAGCGCTGACCATATTGACTTTTGGGGGTTTTTGGTCATTTGTGGGGCTTGAACTCAGGGCCTGGGTGCTGTCCCTCAGCTCTTCAGCTCAAGGCTGGTGCTCTACCATTTGAGCCACAGCGCCACTTCTGGTTTTCTTCTGGTTCATTGGAGATCAGAGTCTCACAGCCTTTCCTGCCCGGGCTGGCTTTGAACCACAATCCTCAGATCTCAGCCTCCTGAGTAGCTGGGATGACAGGCGTGAGCCACCATGCCTGGCTAATTGCTGAGGCAGAAAATTCTTTGAGACTCTTCCATCCGATGATCCAAAAAGCTGGAAGTGGAGCTGAGGCTCAAGTGGTAGAGGGCTAAACTCAGAGACGGCACCCAGGCCCTGAGTTCAAATCCTAACACTGGCACCTGGAAATTTTCTGTTCTGATTTCTAGCTAACACCTTTGTTAAATGTCAGTTTCGGAAACCTGAACTTTTCTTCGTGTAAGGCAGACATCACTTATCAATCTGATTGGCATACTTACTGATAAATAAAACCAAGAATAAGATTGCAAATAGCAGGAAAAATGTCACCAGCGACGCAAACAGCAGCGTGGAAACCCCCGGACTGCTTGGCTGGGCAGTGGCTTTTGCTTTGGGAGCTGCGGGGAAAATAAAAAAAGCAGAGTTGTTCGGGAGAAATTAGTCCTTCCCTTATTTCCTGCTCCTCCTCCTTGCCTCTTTCTTCCATGACACTGAGTTTCCAGCAATATTTGAAATAAACAGGAAGAAGAGAGCACGGTGCTCATTTAGAAACTCCATAAAATGCATAAAAGCCCAACTTCCTACCCAGAAGGAGAAATCCTGTTAACATTTGGTATATACCCTGTAGACAAATGTTGGAAATGTCTATGCAGACAGGGTACAGTAGCTCACGCGTGTAATCCCAGCTACTCAGGAGACTGAGAAAAAAAGAACGTAGTTCAAAGCCAGCCCAGACAGAAAATCCGTGAGTTTTTTGTTGTTTGTTTTTTTTTTAATGTGTGTGCTGGTCCTGGGGCTTGAACTCAGGGCCTGGGCACTGTCTCTGAGTTTTGGGTTTCTTTTTTGCTCAAGGCTGGCGCTCTACCACTTGAGCCACAGCACCACTGCTGGCTTTTTTTTGGTGGTTAACTGAAGATGAGACTCTTACAGACTTTTCTGCCTGGATTGGTTTCAAACATGCTTCTCAGATCTCAGCCTCCTGACTAGCTAGGATTACAGGCGTGAGCTACCAGTACCTCACCATGAGATTATCTCCCCTTAACCACCAACAAACAACCAGACTGGAGCTGTGGCTCAAATAGTACAGCACCAATCTTGAGCCAAAAAAGCCCATCTAGAGTACAAGACCCAGAGTTTAAGCCCAGTACCAGCACACACGCGCACACACACACACACACACACAAAGTACCACCAGGCACCAGTGGCTCACGCCTGTAATCCCAGCTATTCAGGAGGCTGAGATCTGAGGATCGTGGCTCAAAGCCAGCCCAGGTAGGAAAATCTATGAATTTCTTATCGCCAGTTAACTGTAAAAGACCATCAACGGGGCTTCTAACACTAGTCTTGAGCAAAAAGAAAAAGTTAAGGGACAGCACTCAAGTTTCAGCCTTAGTACTGACACAGAATAAAACACTGAGCCCCCGACCAGCCCCCTTTTCTCTTTTACCTTGTGGCGCATCTGCTTTGGGGTTGGGGGGCCTGGAGTGGCTGTTGAACCTCACTTCGGCGTAAGTGATTTCGGAGGCCATGTGGATGCCCGGGGGGGGGGGGGGGTCCTTCACATCTGTGGCATTCTGTCCCGGTGTCTGCTCATGGCGTGTGCAAAGTCCCCTGTGCTTCACCCAGATGTGGGTAGACGTGCTCAAGAGGCAAAGCGCCCCCCACCCCTGCCCGCCACCCAGAGACTTCTACGTCACCCCTGTTCTCGGCTGAACCATTATGCAAGTCATAGTGGGAACGGGCAGGAAAGAAATAGGAAGGAAGGAAAAGGGGAAGCTGGCTCTTCACCAGAGAACGAACGGGGTGCTGAGTCCCCCCACAAACACCACGCTCCTGTGGGCTCCACCAAGCAGAATGACCTCCAACACCCAACTCACCGGAACACACACGCGCTCAGACCGAGTCAGCTGCCTCCGATTTTGCTGGTCAGGTAACTTCTGGAAACTTCTAGAAAGATCTAGAAAGATCCTTGACTCAAAACACGGCCGGTGAGTCCTCAGCGGAAAGGCAAAGTAGGTGTGTGTGTATGTATGTGTGTGTGTGAGTGAGAGAAAGAGAGAGTCCTGGGGCTTGAACTCAGGGCCTGGGCGCTGTCCCTGAGCTCAAGGCTGGCGCTCTACCACTTGAGCCACAGCTCCACCTCCACTTCGGGTTTTCTGGTGGTTCATTGGAGATCAGAGTCTCACAGACTTCCCTGCCCGGGCTGGCTTTGAACCCTGATCCTCAGGTCTCAGCCTCCTGAGTCGCTGGGATTATAGGCGTGCGCCATGGTGCCTGGCTCAAAGTAGATCTCGGTCCTTCTCAAACTTCTCCTGCATTTCCCCGAGATTCATCATTAACCCCAGCAGGAATATTTAGTTACTGGTCAGTTCCAGAACTCCTGGAAGCATCTCTTTATTAGCTGCTGGAGTACAAAGAGGAGCAGGAAGAGAAAGAAGAGAAAGAGGAGGAGGAAGCCGGCGCCGGTGGCTCCCGCCTGCCATCCCAGCGACTCAGGAGGCTGAGCTCTGAGGACCACAGTTCAAAGCCAGCCTGGGCAGGAAAGTCTGTGAGACTCCAATGAACCCCCAGAGAACCGGAAGTGGCGCTGTGGCTCAAGAGGTAAAGCGCTAGCCTTGAGCAAAAGCTCAGGGACAGCGCCCAGGCCCCGAGTTCAAGCCCCAGGATTGGGGGGAGGGTGGGGGAGGGGGAAGGACGCAGGAAGGTGACCCCTGCGGGGTGCACTGGGGACTCCTTCGAGACCCTAGCCCGTGTCTGACTTGTACCCTTGGGAGAGACCGAGCTGCAGTCCCGGGGCGGGGCAGGGGGGGGGGGGGGGGGGGGGGGGGAATCACTGAATCACCCCCTGCTTACAAAACACAAGGCCGTCACAAGATCTACGTGTAGAGTCGGCTCACTGGGATTTCCCGACCCTGAGAACAGACTCTGAAGTTTAAGGGTGATCGAGTGGGGGGCCCCAGCCTGGGCTAATTCCAGGTCACTGGTGATGAACATCGTCAGAGCCAGGCTTGGTGGCTCACGCCTGTAAGCCCAGCCTCTCAGGAGGCTGAGGTCGGAGGATCGTGGTTGGAGGCCTGCTGGGGCAGGAAAGTCTTGGTCTCTTTTTAGCTCCAAGCTAGCGCTCGCCTTGGATGAAAAAACTCAGGGACAGCACCCAGGACCTGAGTTCAAGGCCCCACAACCAACAACAACAATAAGCAACTGAGAGCTGGGGATTTTTCCCACGCTGGGTATTTGCCCTCCGCAGGGCCAGCAATGAGGCTGGTGGGGCGCCTGCCCTCTAGTGGCCACAGGCTGACCCGCAGCCAGCCGGCTGGCCAGGCTCCAACCTTACTACTCTAACTCTTCCCCTTCACCAAGGAGCTCTTCCTGCATGAGTTCACACGTGTGGACAGATGGATGGACGGACACACGGATGACCTTCAGATCTAGGTTCCGCCAGTGAGGGAAAGCGTGCGCTCTTTAGTCGCTGGTGGCTCCGCCTGTCATCCCAGCTCCTCAGGAGGCTGAGATCTGAGGATCGAGGTTCAAGGCCAGCCCAGGCAGCAAAGCCTAGGAGACTATTTTTTTTTTCTCCAAGAAACTATTCAGGGCCGGGCAGGTGGCTCAGGGGTAGAGCGCTCGCCTCGCCGCGCATGCGTGAGGTCCTGGGTTCGAGTCCTCAGTAGCACAGGAAAAAAAATAACTTTAATCACGAGGACAGAAGCCAAAACCAAACAGCCACAAGCACCAAGTACTTACACAAGAAAAGCAGCGGCGGCACGTGTTTCCGTGTTTTAATGACCATTATTGCACCGACACACCAACGCGCTATGTACACACATCTTACACGCGGCGTCCCTCCTCAGCAGCAGCGGAAATACACCTCATCATCTTGGGAGTACAGAGCACATGGGGGGTCCCAGAACTTCAGTCCATACGTAGTGTTTGTTCCCGTGAGAGGCTGGACCCGGGGGAGGGGGGCTGGCGCTCGGGGTGCAGCCTTGGCCACGCGTCTCCGCAGGACGGACGGCCATCCGCCATCCGCCCTTCGCCCCGCTCCATTCCATCAGGCCCAAGCCGCGGGCGAATGTAAACCAGTGCTTGGGGGCCGGGGCTGCGGGAACTAAGCGGAGTTGCAGAGCAGCTCGGCAGGCGCGGGGAGGGGGGGACGCAGCCAGGGCCCCCGCGCCCCGGGTCGGGGAGGAAGGCGAGGCCGTCCACTCGTGGAATTGCGGAGCCGAGATGACCGGCGGGGACGGGGCACAGGGGAGGGGGGGGTCCCCTGCGGCCCGGCCGGGGGCAGGGGTGGCCGAGCCCGCGGGGAGCCTCGGACTGCGCCCGGCCTGGGCCCCTGACCCCCGCACCAGCCGCCCCCAGGTCGCCCCAACATCTGTCCTGCCTGCCTGACGCCCGTCAGAACTGGACCCAGCTGGCTGGCTGCGGCGCCTGGCTTGGAGCGGAGCTGCGGAGACAGGGGGCCCGCGGGGGAGGCCGTCACCGGAGGCCGGCGGACAGAGGCCGGCGCCTCCGCTCCCGCCCCACTGCCGCCTCGGACCTCGAACCCAGCACCCTTCACCAAGCTCCCCTGCGCAGGCCCCAACAGGGCTCCCAAACCCCACCCGACGGCTGGCTGGCTCCCCCCCACTACCCCCACCCCGCCGCCCTGGAACTCCTCTGTGATCTGCAAAGCCCTGCCTGGAGGATCCACTCGGTGGAGGGCCCAGATCTCGACCCCGCTCAGGGAGAGTGCTGGGGACTCGGTGCTACCTGGACGCGGTGCTGAAATCTCCCCATAGGTCGCTGCTGGTGGACGCGGGCGCGGGCGCGGGCGCGGGCGCGGGGGAGTCCAGGTCTAAGAGGATATCTGCAAGGCACGAGAGGAAAGAGGAAGCGGTGAGGAAGACCCAGAGCCGCTTGGGGAGCGACGCCAGTGCCCCGGAGCCTCAGCCCCAAGTCAGGACGGCAGCAGCCGGGCCCGGCCGGGGGCGGCGGCGCGGGCGGCTCCGCGCGGTGGAGTACGACGCAGCGAGGAAAAAGAAAACGCGATGGCGGACCAGGTTCACCTACGAGGGAGGAAGGGAATCGCCCTTCCGCTCGTGCGGCACAGGCGTGCTGCGGGCTGGGAGGAGGGCGGCTGCTGGGCGGCCGGATGACCGGCGGGCGCTGCCCGGGGTTTGTTTCACTGTCTGGCACCCCTTGGGCCTGGGTTGGGCCCCCGCTGGGCGGGCCGACACGCTGGCTGCTGACGGACGCTTCCCCCGTCTCAGGGGGGTCCTGGCGTGGTCTGCTTCTCGAGCCCGGCGGCCCCGCCCGCCGTCCCGGCTCCTCGGGGGCTCAGGTCTGGGGGTCGCGGCCGGCGCGGCTCCCGCCGACCCCCGAGGCGCTGGCAGCGGGGCTGTGGCAAAACCCCTCGGGGACGGGACGCGGGCCCCGAGTTCAAGACCAGCGCCAGAGAAAAGGAAGGGA